AAGATATTATTCATGCTGTCATAGTAAGGAAACACAAGAACCATTCAGGATATCATGCTTCTTATTCATAAGGTTGCTCTGACCAACACTCAGTTTCAGTTCCATCTAAACATCTTCTTAGATGACAGGTTACATTTTATGAGCAAAGGGAAACAAACAAACAAACATGACAAGCATCCCTGCTGAACTCTCCCAGATCTACAGAAGTGTGCTAACGCCTCTTCTCCATTAGTACCAACTCAGCTCGACTCAACTTGATTTTAGGGTTTTCTGTTAGGTGCTAGGTTTTAGTTTCTACTCGACTGGGGTTCAAAGGGAACCAACTTGAAAATGTGATGCCGACAGACTGTGTGCCACCGACTGGCTGATCACTGGTGTCATTCAATGAAACCACGTGTGGCGGGGCGTGGTTTGCAATGCTGCTGCAGGTGCAATGGACGCACCTGCGTGGCATCTGCAATCATGCCTCAGCCGGCTGAAAAGTTTGGAGTTTTGAGTTAAGGTTGTTGTTATGTTGAGCTGGCAGCGGGAGAGCTGCAGCTGCATGTGTTTAGCAACCGTAACTGTGGGTTAATAAAGATGATCAAAATGCCACTGGGTCTATCGTGCATGTTTACAGTGATGCTGAAACCCAGGATGGGGGGCACAGCAGACCCACAACTGGGGGGCAAGGCGGGGAGCTGGAATAACTACGGGTCCAGACTGAGCTCCACTTGCGGAAGATAGGGGGCCTTGCTGGCACCACCGCCAACCCCACCAGTGTGCTCCACGGCGTGGGAGTGGAGGAGATCAGGTTGGATCCGGCGCCTGTGCCAGCCCCAAGGGTGTGACCAGCCAGCACGCAGCCTGCTGCAGCGCCCGTTCCCACCCCTTGCGTGGGAGCCATTGGTGTTCGGCAGGGGCTGGTGCCCGTTCCTGCGCCCCGGAAGAAGGCCGAGGAGACCAACTCAGCCTGAGCCAGAGTGCAGAGCGCCAGAGGCACCATGTGGGGAGCTGCTCCAGGCGGGAGCGGCGGAGGCACCGTGGGAGGAGCTGGGAGTGGCGTAAGCGCCGTGCGGGGAGCTGATCCAACTGGGAGACGCAGCGGTGGAGGCGCCGCGTGAGGAGATGGAGGTGCCCGTGCCAGGGGTGTCTGCGCAACCTAAGTCCGAGGTCGGCGGGCTGGGTAGACCGGTGTCAAGCACGCTGGTGTGGTGCGGCCTGCTTGAAGCCTGCCCAGCTGCACGTGAGCCCCGGCTCACTGCTACGCCTGCTGCACCACTGCTTGCCACATGGGTGGCCCCCGGTCCAGCTCAGGGGCTGCTGCTGGATACGTGGGCGACCCCCGAACCCACCTCAGCACCAGCGCGAGGCGTGTTTGCGATGCCTTGCCACACATCCCGATGTGCGATGGACGCACCTGCACGCCATCTGCAATCACGCCTTGCTGGCTTAAAAGTTTGGAGTTTTGAGCTAACGTTGTTGTTATGTTGAGCTGGCAGCGGGACAGCTGCAGCTGTGTGTGTTTAGCAACCGTAACCGTGGGTTAATAAAGATGGTCAAAACGCCGCTGGGTCCGTCATGCATGTTTACACCACCATTTTTGAAACCCGGCAATGAGAGACATGGCTGCACAAAAAGCCATACACCAAGCATCAGGTGCCTCAACATCCTCTGTGTTGTGTTATTGCCACATACAAATTACGTCATGGGGCTGCCTTGCTTTAACAACCCCACACACACTGAGATGGTGTTTATTTTTAATGGTAAATGAGTGAAGCCGAGTAGTGCAGCGTTGAGTAGGTACTAGTGGAAGAAGTACATGTAACTGTGTGACTTAACACATGAAA